GGATTAGTTGGGAGTTTTTTGGTGCTGAGTTGTATAAGTTATTTATATATTTTGGATATTAACCCTTTATCTGATATATTATTTGCAAATATCTTCTCTCACTTGGTAGATTGCATTTTTGCAATCTTTAAACAGCAGGCTTACTTAAATGTATTTCTACGCAGTACAAACATGTAGGAAAGTATTATATTAAAGGATTGTTTTTATAACTGTAAAGTATTTAAATAATCTAGAGTTAATTTAATTTGAAACTAAGGTCAGATAAAATTAGTTGAGGAGTTAAAAACCAGCAAATATAATATTTGCTAAGCTATTAATAGAAGTTCCAATGAGATGGCATTATCAAATGTTGGCTTCCCATAAAATGCCCCTTTAGCTCTGCTAAAGGAAAGCTGAGTTAATTGCTTATTGCAGTAAGGGAGAAACTACCTTAGCAGTGTCTACTCAAGTGTTGTGCTTATTTTTTAATTGGGTTATTTTCCTGTTATTGAGTTTTGGGAATTTTATATATATTGTGACTACAAGTCCTTGTTGTATATGGAATTTACAAATATTTCTTCATAGTCTGTGGTATGTTATCCTCTAACAGTAAAATTTACATTACAAAAGATTTGAATTTGATGAAATCTAATTTAGTAATTTAAAAAAATGGATCATAGTTTTAGTATCATGTCTAAGAACTCTTCTCCTGGATCCTGAAGATATTTTTTTACACTTCTAAAGGGTTTAAAGTTTGTTTTATATTTAGATAGGTGATCTACTTTGAAATAATGTTTTTATCAAGCAAGATGTTTAGGTTGATATGTAGATAGGTATGTATATACATACCAACATCTACATATCAACCTAAACATCTTGCTTACATACATACCTATCTGCATATCACATTTACACACATCCGATCCATGATCATGGTATATCTCTTTCTTTCATCAGCATTTTTAGGTTTTTAGCATATAATCTACATATCTTGTTAGTACACACACACACTCATACATATGCATCATGATAGTCTCTATTATTGATAATTTGTTTTTGAGTCTTGTCAATCTTCTTATTGGTTTTCTTGCTCTTTTCAAAGAACTACTTTTATGTTTTCAATTTTGTTGCTTTCTGACTTCATAGCTAATATTTTTTTCTGCTTGATTTGGGTTGATTTTACTCTCTATTTCTAGTTTCTTAAAGTGGAAGCTGAGATTACTAATGCAAAATCTTTCTTCTCTTCTAAGGTAAAGATTTCTTCTAGGATAAATTTCTCCTTAAGCAGTGCTTTAGCTGAATCTCACAAATTTTGATAGGTTGTATTTTCATTTCATTCTATTCAAAGTATTTTCTAATTTCCTTTGAGACTTCCTCTTTCATTCATGGTTTATTCAGGAGTGTATTGTTTAAATTCCAAGTGCTTGCAGATTTTCAGTTATCCTTCTGTTATTAATTTCTTCTTTTTAAATGTTTATTTATTTTGAGAGAGCGAGCAGGGGAGGGGCAGAGAGAAAGGGAGACAGAGAATCCCAAGTAGGCTCTGCACTTCAGCACAGAGCCTGATGCAGGGCTCGAACTCACGAATCACAAGATCATGACCTGAGCTGAGGTCAGATGCTTAACCAATTGAGCCGCCCAGGAGTCCCCATGTGTATTTTATTTTTTTTAAATTTTTTTTTAACGTTTATTTATTTTTGAGACAGAGAGAGACAGAGCATGAATGGGGGAGGGTCAGAGAGAGGGAGACACAGAATCTGAAACAGGCTCCAGGCTCTGAGCTGTCAGCACAGAGCACGACGCGGGGCTCGAACTCACAGACCGTGAGATCACGACCTGAGCTGAAGTCTGCCGGTTAACCGACTGAGCCACCCAGGCGCCCCCCCCATGTGTATTTTAAAATAATGTGTTTTGTATTGCTGTTGGACGTAGTGCTTTTTAAATATCAATTAAATCCAGATGGTAGATGGTGTTGTTCAATTCTTTTATCTCATTGCTGATTTTCTATGCACCAGTTCTGTTCTTGAGAGAGGAGTGTTGAAGTCTCCAACTATACTTGTAGACTAATCTATTTCTCTCTTTAATTCTGTCATCTTTCGCTGCATGTATTTGAGTCTCTCTTATTAGATGCATACACTTTTAGGATTGTTATATCTTCTTGGTGATTTGACTCTTTTAGTATCTTTCTTGATCCCTGGTCAAATTTTTTGGGTTTTGGCACCAAAGTCTACTTTGATATTAATATAGCTAGTACAAATTTCTTTTTGTTATTGTCTGCAAGGTATTTATTTTTCCATCTTTTACTTTTAACCTATGTATTCCATTATATTTTAACTGAGTACAGACAGCAATAATTGCATAGTGTTTTTTAATCCATTCTGATGAACTATCTCTTAGCTGGTATATTTTGACATATTTAATTTGCATCTATCATTTTATTATTGTTTGTCACTTTTCTTCCACTTTTCACTAAATTTGTGGCCTCTCATTATTTGATGTAGTAGGTATAAGTGTCAGTAAAAATTCTGGATACCAGAACTTAAAAACTAGTGCACTCATCAGGTTTAGTTCTGTAAACAAATTTCAGGGAATTACATTAGACAGATAGTATTTTCCTAAAATAGTTTGTATTTACAAAGTAAAGAAATACTCACAGGAGTCTCTCCTGGGTTACACATCTTTACCTGAAAAATGTCCCCCAAAAGCAAATCTATGGGTTTATCTTTGTAGAACATTAAAAAAAAACGCACAAAGTCAGTTAAGTCCTCAGATTTAAATAGCTTTCCTACGAAGAAAAAGTAAACAAATCCAAATAACTCTCGAGTGTTTATACCATATATTATAAAATAACCCTTATATATAGTTGTTCATTCTATTAACAAGAGGAAGGACCAAAAAATCATTAAAAATTAAATATATCCTTATATAAGTATATCCTTAAAGCATTCATGAAGTTGAAGGATAATAAAATAATATATCTGCTTAAGTATTACAGATTACCACTTCTGAGAGAGAGAAGTGTGAAGCAGGTTTAGAATAGTGAATACCCTCAGGAAACCAATTTTGATAACCAATGAAGATCAATTTCTAAGTCTTGTGAAAGATACATATACATAAAATGAAATGTACAGAAGCTATAATTTTTACTTAATTTTGTAGAAGCGGATCTATAACCTGACTTTCGTAGAACTTTATCAATCTACCACATTTTTTATGTTTAGTATTTAATTTTGATTAAAATATAGCATTATTTCAATATTTGAGCATCATTTTATAAGAATTAAAAAAAATTTTTTTTTAACATTCATTCATTTTTGAAAGGCAGAGAGAGACAGAGCGTGAATGAGGGAGGGGCAGGAGAGAGGGAGACACAGAAACAGAAGCAGGCTCCAGGCTCTGAGCTGTCAGCACAGAGCCCAACGCGGGCTTGAACTCACGGACCGCGAGATCATGACCTGAGACAAAGTCGGCTGCTTAACCGACTGAGCCACCCAGGCACCCTTCATTTTATAAGAATTTTATTTCTATCTTATATTTGTGATACTTAAAGATTTGCTATACTTTAAAGTAGGATATTTCCTTAGGTCCAATTGCTTTCTTCTAATATACTGCATCTTTGATTTTAAAATGAAGTTGAAGGTATAAGATTCGGGTAAATGTTAAAGTAAATAGTGTAAAATACACCTATTTAATAAATATGATAGTAGGAAGTAATCATGCTTCCTTTTCTTTACTAGGAGTTGAATCTGTATGAGTTATTTAATCAAATGTATAGTTATATTTTAATTTTTTGGTTTTTATATAGTAACCAAAGTAAGTGATTTAATGATGGAAATAGTTGAATCAATATTTGTCTTTTCCTTATCTGCTGTCAGCATGCTGTAAAATTCTATTTAGCAAACTCATGTTTTTGGTAATATTGAGTAAGAAAATTGTTAGTGTTATAACAACACTAATAACAAAAAACAAAGCTGTTGTAAACTTAAGCTTAAATAAGACTTCAGAATTACATATACAATGCTCCTTGTTCAGTGGCTCTTGGTCAGAATGTGAATATTCTCCAGCCTTCTCACACCGGGCTTTGGTGAGAAAGATACAAAAAATTTAAAATTTTTGCAGTAATGTATCAACAAAATTACTTCCTCTTCAAGCTTATCAGGTATTGCTGTTACCTATAATTTTTCCTCGTATTTAAATCAAAGCTGAGCATAAACCTTTGGGGTTTCAAAATTGGATTCTGCAATACTTGACAGAAAGTATGGAAAAGAAAGTTATCAAGTAAATATATGAATAACAGATTTCACTAGCAATCAGAGAAATTCTTAACACTCCTCCCAATGGCAAAAATAAATAAATAAATAATGATGTAATAGAATCACATGTTGTCAAGCATATGGGGAGGTGGGAACTCATACGCACTGCTTAGGGGACTATAAACTGTACAGCCAATCTGCAAAGTAATCTGGCATGACTTAGAGACACAGTCATATTCACCCTCAGTGGTCCTGATCCAGGGGACAAAATATGTCACTTCATTTCTTTGTGGCAGCAGAGAGTTGGGAGCAAAGTTGACCGCTTTGAGGATGGAGAAGTCAAATGGATTATTATGTGGGGTGTATGCAACAGCAGTAAGAAACAATAAACTAAATTGACACAAATCAACATGTTGACAGTTTCAAAATCTAGTTTTGAGGACAAAAATGTTAAGGGGCATGAAGAGGGTTATCACATCACCATTTATGTAAATTTTAAACAGATAAAAACATGATAAACACCAATATAAGCATATTTATATGTATACTTTGTTTTAAACGTTTTAAAATGTCTATTATTTATTTTCGAGAGCGAGAGACAGACAAAGCACAAGCAGGGGAGGGGAAAAGAGAGGGGAGTCACAGAATCTGAAGCAGGTTCCAGGCTCTGAGCTGTCAGCATAGAGCCTGATGCAGGGCTTGAACTCACAAACTGTGAGATCGTGACCTGAGCAGAGGTCTGACAGTTAACCGACTGAGCCACCTAGGTGCCTCTATATGTACACTTTGAACATATTAGAATGGAAGCCTATGGGGGGTGGGAGGAAGTGGGAGTAGGGACTGGGCATAAAGTGAAAGAACAAAGTAAAAGAGGGCTCCTGTATGAAAGCAAGGATGATATGCACCATGGAATGAGTGTGGTAATTCAACTTGCCACCTCAAGGTTCAAACAAAAGAAAAAGTATAGGAGGGAGGGTAGAAAGAGTGGAAGGAAGAAGAAAGAAAGTCTATAAAAGAATTTTTTTTTAAATCCCACGATTGGCCCAATTTTAGGCATTCTTCCATGGTGGGTATGATTCACTTATTTTTATACTTTTCTAAGTATGTCACATTTGGCATAGTGGAAATTACCAGGAATTTAGAGTACGGTAGTCCTAAATCAGAATTCCTTTCTTACAACTTTAACTCTTTGAGTTTTCATGTAAAATAGAGCAGTACCCCTTAGTCACTGAGTTAACATGTGGGCCAGACTTGCAGCAAGCATTTAGCAAGTAGTAGCTTTCTTACATTTTCATCACATGTATAGGCTGCTTATTTATATTGTCTATCTCGGAAAGATTGGTTTAAAAATACATTTACTGAAACTCAAGATACTTGAATTTGATCTTACTGTTAAATTAACAGTATCTTTACAGAAATCATGCCATTCCTTTCCATTAAGTAACTAATAAGTTTTTAAGAAATTTTAAGATTATTGCGTGCTAGAAAATACAAGGCTTACCTATGAATCCAAGAATTGAAAACTCAATATAAAACCAATTATTTGAAGTGATATTATGCACAAAATCTGTGATTTTTGTAAAGTACATCTTTTTAGCTATGATATCATCTTCTAGCTGGAAAAAAACAAAAGTCATTAGTTCCTTTGATGCTTCCATTGAATAAATTGCATTTGCTTGAGAACTGAAAATAGTTTCTCAATAGAATACACTGAAAAACCAGTTTTTATGAGGTTATCTTATTTTTAGTTCAATTCACTGAGAGTATTTACTATTAGTTTTCACTCTGAGATTCTGAGACCAGAGATGAGGTTTCTTTCCTAAGTAGTAATATGCAACACTCAATCTAAATCCTCATTGAAAAAAATCTATTTATCCGAATCTATTTACATCCTTACAAATACTTCCATTCCCAGTTTAAGCCTAATTAGCTTTATGTTTGAGATGATAGGCGCCAGGTCCTGTCACCAGAGAACCAGGGACTGTGCTTGGCAATGAGATGACGAAAGGGAACTGGCACTCTCATCCACAACTAGGTGGGTAGATGAATGTTGGTACACATAAGCCTAAGAATAGCTCTCCTTAAGAGAGGGGGAAAGAGAAACTAGAATTTTCTCCTAAAAAATATTTATTTATTTATTTTGAGAGAGAG